ATTAAAAAATTTAAATATTAAAAAAATTAGTAAAAATCTTTGCAGGCAAATTTGCCTGTATTACAATTTAAGGGATAGCAAGACACACCAGCTAAAATAAGGAAAAAGAAAAGGAAGGATTAGTAGAGTCCAAAAGCACAGAAGCCAAAAGGAAAAGAGAAGACTTAGGCTTATTAGGTGATGAAGAAAGAAAGCCCAAAGTTAATAGAGCTTTTGGACAAAGAATTAGCAGAAATATAGTAAAATTGGCAAAGCACAATAGCCAATCAATAAAGAAAAATCATGAGAAAGAGAACTGGCTACCCAAAAGCCAAAAGAAAACAAAACCCACAGGGAACCCCGACCCAATAGCAACAACTCAATTCACAACATGCTGTCAAAAATTTTTAGATAGACTTGACAAGCTTGAAAATCAAAAAGAGCACTCGGTAGGTGGCACCTTAGCATATTGCTCCTAAGGGCGCCAAAGGCGCATCAATTGATTACTCTGGACCTCAAAAGGATAGGGAAAGGGAGTTAATAGAAGAGGGTCCAGAGAGGAGGCTCCCCAAAGTAAGAAAGGAGAAAGCTGCAACATATGAACTATTCGGGATATTAAATATCGGGTTTCATAATATTAATGGAATAAAAAACAACAAAAACAAGCTAAAGATAGTAATAGATTTTGCAGAAAAAAAGAAATTAGACATTTTGAGTTTAGAAGAAACCAATATCAATAACATAGAAGACACTTTTGCAATGAAAGATACAAAGATATATAAAAGTTTTTAGGCAAGCTCTGAAGAGAGTAAGAAAAAAGAATTAGGCCTAGGGGTGCTGTTTAAGAAATATTGGGAACAACATATTACACATATGTCAAGGAACAATCTATATTTTTTAAAGCTCAGTTTGGACTTTAAAGGCCTGGTAATAATCATAATCTTTTTATACATGGCCCCAAACGACAAAACAAGACAAGAAGAGATTTTGCATATGCTTAAAGATACTTTAGAAAGGCCTAACAGAAAGCTGCAGCATTTTATAATCCTGGGGATCTCAATGTTATTACACCAGACCTAGCAGATAGTGAAGTGGAAAGTACAAGTTCTAAATCCAAGTTAAAACAACAAATTGTAGCGCTTCTAAAAGAAAAGAACATGTACAATGTGCAAGATTTGGCTTGCACCCCAACCTGGTCAAACAGTAAAGCAGAAACTAGAATAGACTACATATGAGTATCAGATAGATAGAAAAGTAGTATAATTAGTACCAAGGTTAATGATATGGATCTTTGTACTATAAGTAATCACAAATTAATAAGAGCAAGTATTGCTACAGAACTCAAAATAAAGAAAACAGGTGCAGCTAAAAGAAGATGAAAAAACAGAAAAAGAGTCAACTTAGATTTAAGTAAGGCCTCTAAAGAGGATTGGATCCAGTATAGAGAGAGCCTTGAAAAGAAGATAAAAGACCACTTGAACAAGCGCAAACCCAAAAGCATAGATGAGGAATAGGATATAATCGAAGAATATATCAGAACAGCAGCAAACACAAGTCTCCTGAAAAAAGAAAAATTACCAGAAATTCTAAAAATTAGCAAAAAAAGTGACGAAGTACAAGCACTAATACTGGCAATAAAAGCATATAACAAAGGCTATCATAAAGCGAAGAAGGAACCACTACAAGACATGGTCAAAGACAACATACTCAGTACATTAGAGAAGGTTGATGCCTTGGTCGGTAATGACATAGAAGATAAAACAGACATACTAAGCTCAGAGAGTCTTAAAAACTGTGCAAAAATTCTGCACAAGGAGTGGCGTAAAAGAATCAGAAGTATTGAAGAAGCAAAAATTAGAGAAAGTATAGAAAAAAGGCATAGTATAATTGTTACTAATCAACAGAAAATGCTTAATAGCCTCTTAGACCGACCTTACAGAAGAATTCAAATAGATAGAGTAGTAAAGAGGACAGAAGAAGAAGCAGAACTAACTTACGAGCCATAAGACATACTAAAAGAGGTCAAAGAATATTTTGAAAAGCAATTTCGTACAAGAAGTATAGTATAGTTAGAGGCCATGCCAGCAAGATAGAAAAACCAATATGCCCCTTAAGAGGATATTGATGAGTCTTGGCATAAAGATACAACAAATAAGATTATTCTAGCTGAATGGAGCAGGCTCTGGAGCAGGTCAAGACCAAGTCAGCTCCAGGAAGAACAGGTATCACATACCCACTAATAAAAAACACTAGCTCTACTACAAGAAAGTTCTTTCTTGATTTTGCCTCCAGGTGTATAGAAGAAGATACTATGCCAAAAAAGTGAAAACTAGATATCTTGTACTCAATACCCAAGACAGAAGACTGGTATTACAATCTAAACAATATGTGGCTGATTTTATTGTTGAAATCATTCCGAAAAACGGTAGTAAGAGTGATCACAAATAGGCTAGCAAAAATTCTAAGTGAAAAAGAGGTATTAAAAGGCAGGAACTTCGCAGGCCTCCTAGGAGTGGCATAGCAGCACTAGTGCATCTCATTAACTGTTTAGTAGAGGAAGCAAAAGAAAAGAAAAAGGAAATATAGCTCTTATTCCAGGATATGAAAAAAAAGACATTCGACTCTGTGGGGCTTAAAATGCTTACAATTGTACTGCGAAGAATTAAAATCAGAGCCATTAACACGTTTCATCATAAACCTCTTCGAGAACCATGAAATAGAAGTCCTAACAAGCCTAGGAACCACTCAAAGATTTGTAGCAGGGAATAGGATTGATCAAGGAGAAGTTATTTTTTCTCTTATATTGAGGATATTTTACGACCCTCTGCTAACAGAAATTCAAGAGAATAGAAAGCATGGTTATGAGCTTGAGGTAAACTGGCCAAGCGATCTGAGTAGAAATCACATATGGCAACATAGCCTAAGAATCTCTGTAATTGCGTATGCTAATGATACAACCTTCATAGCATCGAGCAAGAAAGAACTAGAAAAAACCATCAGTATAGCGCAAGAGTTTTACAAAATAAATAATATTGAAATCAATAGCAAGAAATCGAAGCTGCTTATAATAGATGGAAAAAAAATAAAGGAACCTAGATATATAGAATTTGGTACACCGAAGGCAAAAGTATTCGAAAAGAAGGCAAGTGAGTTAACAAGATTTCTTGGCATTTGGCTATCCAAAAAACATGATTAGTCACACATTAGAAGTATTGCAAAGAAAGAAATACAAGCAATTAGTATAGCAATCTATAAGAAGAATACCTTGCTAGCACAAATCATCTATATCAACAATAGAGTACTTATCCCAAGATTGGAGTACCATTTACAACATTGTATAATTCCAAGAGAGCAATGCAACAAACTTCAAAGCCCCATTATAAAGCTAATTAAAAATAAATCAGGCTTAGCCAACTCATGGCAAATGCAATCTTGGTACATAAAAATATAGTTGGTCTTAAAACATTGTGGCAGAATCAGATGGCTCATCATATTACAGAGCTAAGAAAACGTATAAACAAAAACAATGAAATTGGCAAAGCCACGTGGATCAGAATTCAGCAAGCTTAGTTAGATTGTAAAAGTACTCAGTGTATAACAAGTTTAGATGCAGTAAGATTAAAGAAGGTTAAGCTCAAACAAAACCTTGCATATAAAATCCTAAGTGAAGCAAAAAACATAAACATAAGCATATGATCTAGAGAAAAAAAAGAAAACTTAAGGCTTTCAGAAGCTGAAGTAGAAATTATAAATTTTTTGGATAAGAAAATGATTAAAGGCTTTATACAAGAAAAAGAAACATGTATCCTGGTGTTAGAGCAAATGCTTGACAGTACGGGGCAAAAAATACTCACTTGGGGCCAGATTAAAAAATGCAAGAAGCAAAAAGTGAGGGGAAAAACTCCATCATGGGTTAAAAAGCTAGAGGAAAATATAATTAAAAACCTGATTAGCAGAGAAATCAAGGCAGAGTTTAAAACCAAAACACCCAATTGCCTGTCCCCTAAAATAGAGTTATCACCAATAAGTAACGACAAAAGAAAAAAAGAATGGGTACTTTTCAAGGCTAAAAACAAAACACTAATAGGGAAAATTGCAAAAGAAAACTATCCTAGTAGAACACTAGGAACATACAGTAGATCTGCAAGAAATAACAATCAAATTGGTTAAATGCAGAGGCTGCGAATTTGGCTTAACGAAGCTCTCAGGAGATAAAATTTCTTGTAGGAGAAGGTTAAAAAAAAACAAGATGCAGGGAATTCTCCCAAAGATTGTACAAAAGTTATCAACCCAGAACCAGATATAGGAATTAGTCACTCCATTTAGTAGTATTGTAGATATATTATAGTGATTTGAGGAAAGTTTAAACACAATAAGGGGCACACAAGAATTTTCGGTTGCGAATATACCTATTTATCTATTAGAAGAAGAGATCATAAATCAAGCTTTTGAAGACACACAGGCCATAAAGAAGATTAGAGAAGTAGCATCCCAGTTAAGAGGAAGAAGGCGAATTACGTTTTATACTGACAGCTTGTTACTTAACCTAGTGGAAGAACCAGAGAAAAGGAAAATGAGTCTGGGATAGGTTGCTGTTTCAAAAATATAATAGCCAGATTTTGTGGTGCAATCAAGAACTGGCTATCTATCGAGAGAATTAAATAAGTGCAAATCTGCAAAAACCTGCGAAAATGCAGATTTTTGCAGAATTTTTTGCAAAAAAACTGCAAAATTTCCTATATTTTGAAATTTTGCGCAGAACTGTATTTAATTTCTATAGCTATAGCTGGTGAGTCTGAAGTTTTGCACAGATTTTCATTTAATATATTATTTAATTTTTTTGCAAATCTGTGCAGAACAGCACTAAAAAATTTTTCTGATATCATTCACAAGGGCCGAATTAGGTGCAATATGAATAGCTTTTTTAGCAGCTCCATACAAGTCGGCAGCAGTGTTAGAAATCTAATGTTCTCAGTGTTCTCAAAAACATTAAAATATTTTTGAGAACATAATTTTTGAAAATTATATTCTCATTTAAGAACATAAAATTTGTAAATTTAATTATATCTAAAAACTTTTGAGAATATTAAAAATCTTTCTGAGAACCTAAAATTTAAAATTTATGTTCTCAGAGAATAAAAAAAAATTTCAGATCTCTAGCACTAGTCGGCAGTCGAGATACTTACTGACAGTGCAGTCACAATACAGGCAATTCAAGCAAGCCTAAGCCAAAAAGGACATACAATGTGGTTAAAAAGAAAAACCAGTGCCTTTTGGAGCAAATTCAACATACAGTCAAGTTAAAAGAGTTGCAAATTAGATTAGGAAAGGTTAAAACATATAGTGGAATAAAAGAAAATGATGAAGCAGATATCCTTGTGAAAGAAGGTGCTTTGCAATCTATACCTATCTCCCCGAGATGGCCATGGAACAAGCGATCAATTTCTGAACTTAAATGAAAAAGCCTAAGAGTAGATGATGCAATGAGAAGCTTTATTACACAACTAATCGCAGTCAGTATTGACACAGAGTGGAAAATCTAAAGAGCATAAACAAGTAGGTAGAAATGGAGCAAGACTCAAATGTAATCGACTGGAGAGAGGTTTGAAACAATATAGGTCAATTTAAAGGTAGCAACTGCAGAAGCTCCGAGGTAAACAAAAAATGGGTGTTCAAAATCAAGTGTCTAAATGGTCTTCTCCCAACAATGCAAACTCTATACCAAAGAAGAGCAGATATCTACTCAGATGACAAGTGCAAAATATGCTAGGAATTAAAAACAGAAACACAAGATCACTTGGCAGAATGCTCAGAACTGCAACGACTATGGAGCATTATCAAGGCGGAGAGAACTGTTCTATTTAAAGAAAAGGCCAAGAAAGAAAAAGCAGATTTAAAGATCTTAAATGTCAAAGAAATAGAAAATACGATCTTTAAGAATGATCTATAGGAAAGATTAGTAGCAAAAAGAAAACTAATGAAAGGCCTAATCACGAAGCAAAGAATTGATAGAATATGCTCAGTCCTGTAGGATTCAACACTGGTCAGCAAGTTTAGCCAAGCAATACTCGACCACGTCAGAGACCGCTTCCATAAGCATATTTGGTATTTTCGCTGCGACCTAGTAGCTGAATGGGAAGAAAGACACGGTGTTGCAAAGCTAGAGAAGAAGACCAAAAAGAAAAGAAAGAAAAAAGATATGACAAATGAGACAAACAAAAAAAATAGCGACCTACAAAGCTTAGAACATACCGTGAAAAGAAGCAAAGGAGCTAAAAACAAGTCAAAGGAGAGTAAATATGAGGTATTAAAAGAAGAAGAAAAAATAGTTGAAGAGTGTATCGCATGAGGGAATAAACCAGCATGGTCCTTGCTAGCCAAAGTTCGTCCAAATATTAAGCATTACTAACATGGTATACAACGGCCAATTGATGATCGAAGAGGTATCTTTAATTGATACAAAATTTCTAGTAAGTTAGGAATCCTGAGAGAGATAAACAGTTGTTATGGCAGGTTGCATTGGGCAAATAGTCTAGTGAGTCTTTATTAAAATAAAGCGTTATACTATATTGATATAGTACTTTGTATATTAGTCATATAGTAGTTCATAAAATAAATAAAGGCAGGACTGCTTAATATAAAAAAAAAAAAAATTATTATTATTGAATAGGCAATTATCGAAAAAAAAACTTGCTGTCTGTAATTTGATAATCGTCTAAATTTTTTAAACTTTGGTTTAGTATATCTTAATAACTATCTATATAAACTTGAAGAATTTTTTTATTTTAATTCTATGAATTCATAAGTCAAAATAAAAAAAAAATTTTATTGATCTTGGACAAGTAGTTATTAAAAAATCCTCATTTAAAGTTTAAAAAATTTAGGTGATTATCAAAACAAAGACTGCAGCTTAGGTTTTTTTTATTGAATCTAGGTGAAATGTGTGGCAAATCCTTGATTTAGATTGGCTAAGAGCGACGAAAAAAATTGGGCCAGAATAAAATCACAGCCGCCTATTAGGGGGCTTCAGTAGTGACAAAAGGGGGGGTTTTGGGACAGAATTCTGTAAATGTATCCAGAATAAGTTCTTTACCCCTTTACAAACCTTTCTAGATATGTTTAATCATATATAGAATTCAAGCTCTAAAGTATGCTAGAGCCAAATCCTGT